GGATCCAGGAAAAAAACATTATTTGAAGACCCGTTTTTTCGAGGCTCTTAGAAAACTTGCTCAAAATCCCGGAAAAACCACTTTTGTAACCAAAAGCAATACAGATTCTGGAAGTAGACACTTCAGGTTATGTTTCTATGTGCGTATCTCAAAACCGATTTTTTGACCGAAAATCACTATTTCTGAGGGGGAGAGGGGGCTAGGGCCCTGAAATAAACAATCAATTCTACATTCTTTTCCGTATTCAATATGGCTAAAGGTTATTCAACACAATTGTGTGATAGTTTTCAATCAGCGCAGCATTGACTGTCAGTTGTTCAGGTATACACTCATTTTTCTACTAGCAACGCAGCTCACGTGCGTGACATGAGCAGAATATAAATGAAATAGTTTATATCCTCGAAAATGAGTACTTTTCCAAAACCATAAGTGTGACTTGATAAGAGAGACAAGAGGGACAGTATAAATAAAGATAGTAACACTTAATTTCCCATGGTTAACGAGTATCTGTGTAATAATGATGTCAGAAAAAAATTGTTTCAATCATCGGATGATCTTCTTTCTTTCTCCTCTGAAACTGCGATAGAATAGACAAACGATTCGTTATCTCTCTTTTTAGAAAAGATATGAAAAACATATGGAGAGAGACACATCGAATAATTAGAATTAAACCGTGAGTCTCTGAGTTTGATTACGCTTATTTGTAAGAAAAATAGTCATTGTTGATTATCGTTTGTTGTAGGGAATCAGAGCGTTTTCCATTTCCTGACTGAAAGAAGAATGCATCGTACGCAGTTTTACTTCGAATAAAAAAGAGCACACTCAGTCTTTAGATGAGATTGGTGCAGTCCTGAAAGTGGTCATTATCACACACTAAGATTAAAATATTAAATTGTAATTCCTCTCGCATCTTAAGTACACGTTTTCCAGACATCATGTTCAATCACTCAAGAATATTCGATTGCACCAACGGTGGTAAAGACGCGAATCATTTTGATTGTATTGCAAGTCGTTTAACCGGAAGTATATTGCTCGCGGCATCCGTTATAACTCTCGTCTTCAATGTTCGCTTTATCTACTGGTCATTCCATCATGAGCATTTCTGTTTGAGATACTATGCACTTATTATCAGTATGTTTGCCAGTTCAACAAGTACGATTATTATTACCGTGCCGCCTGTTATTTTACAATGTTTTTTATGTGGTCGTTTATGCTATCCGTTTTTGTGTAAACTCGAAGGTTTTTCATCGTATTTAAATGGTTGTGCATGCATGTATATGCTACTCTTGTTATCTTTTATCCGATATACATCAGTGATGCATACAACATTCGTCAAGAAACTATTGGAGCGATATAATTATCTAGCTGTATCACTTTGTTGGGCATTCGGACTAGTTTGGGCGGTACCACCACTCTTCGGTTGGAATCGATACGTACCTGAAGGTCTCGGATTCCATTGCGGACTTGATTGGACCGATCCTTCAATACGTAGTATCTTGTATTTTTGTTTGTCATTTGTTTTCGTCTATTTTCTCCCATTAGCTGCATTACTCTACGTAAATATTCGTGTTTATTGTACCATTCGTTATCTTATGCACTATGGTGGCAGCAATGAATCGGCTTATAAAAATCACTGGCTATTTTCAAGAATATCATCATCGTCGCCGTCTACACCTTCATCAAAATTCGAATCGTTACAATTAAAAACTAGTTTAGGCAGCAATCTCGCTAGTGGATGTTCGACCGGCACCATCCGCTTTTTACAATCTGGTCAAAACGAAGCTATACACATGAAACGTATTAAAAGTATATTAGCACGGGAATGTTCATATATAAATGATGGCAGGGATATTCGTCGACAATTAGCCGATGAATTGAGTGTAAGTAATTCAGCTTCTCTAAAACGACTGAAAGTTCATCGCCGTTTTGCAGTGGCGACTGCAATTCTTGTCAGTGAATATTTGTTAAGCTGGACACCATATGCCACTATAGCCATGTTAGAAATTTTTCGTATGATATTACCATCTCAAAATCCTGTGATAATGACTATATGCTCATTAATAGCTAAATTGTCAGTGATCATTAATCCATGTATTTATATCCAAACGATTACAATGCTTAAATTAATGCCAACATTTCTTAATAAATGTAAATGTCCATCGTGTCAAACAAAACGTTCTCAAAAAACTAAAACCGGTGAAATTGTGAGAAGATTTGATTTTTAATAACAGCATTGGAGTTATAATGAAATGCAGCATCGTATAACTTAGTATCATTCGATGCGACCTTGAATGATAACAAGATTGCTTTTTTAAAACTCGAGACTAAATCTATAAAAACAACAATTTTGTATTTTGCGTAAAAGAAACCAGTTTTCTGAGAATTATATTGTTTCAGTTACTATAGTGTTATGTTGTTTAATTTTAAAACGGAGAATGTCAATGTTCCAGCAGTGTAATTAGGACAAGTTTTAGGGAATATGTCACTTAATAAAGATCTTGAACAATATACAAGATTATTAACTGTTAAACAATCAAATATAGTTCTATGCCGATCGATGGAATGAAATAACCATTCGTATAAAAACGTAAGAAAAATTCTATAACATAGCAAATAATAGAGATAGAAAGCTAAAACTTTTTATGACAATAAAACCCATCTATCACTATCACAGCAAAACATTTCAGTTTTTTGTATGGTGTTTTTGCCCGAGTTATTGACTTTTTACTGTTTTCGAGCCCCATGGGTCAACAAAACAGAAGATCGCTATAACGTTTGATGAAAGCACATAGGGACAAATGTCAAACTGTCAAAATTGACACGATTTAACCTATGTTTTCATAAGCAAAACCCTTTTCCGAAACTATTCGGAACGAGATCTTTGAAAAAGCACTTCGGATCTCCGGAGACTGAGATAACAATCTATCAGTTTTTTTCCATAGATAGATAGTCCGAAGTGTCCCCTTCAAAATGCAAACTAAGCGAACTCTTGAGTTTTCCCGGTTCAGGCGTGGCATCGAGTTTCCTGAAAGTTCCCCACGATCAATATTTCTTTAGGTGTGCTAATTCCAAAAATAATGGAAACATAGGTAATCAACCATGCTGACTCTCGTGGCAATATTTATTTTTCAGAAAACATCCAACAACCTAGTGAAAACCTATATTAGGTGGAATAACTCATTTTTGCCTATTTTCGAGTATATATATTTATTTAAAAAATTCAAAATCTAGTCAAGATCAATCTAAATTATGTCAGAATATCAAGATGTACTCTATTTTACCTGTTCAATACTATGTAGTTCAATAAAAGCTTTAGAAATCAACACAAAATACTTTGGCTTTTGAAACGGTTTTCAAGATATCTTTCGAAGTACAAGAATGTTTTTTACTATTCTGAAGTAAAAAGTCGTCTTGACAAGGTAAAATAGAGTACATCTTGATATTCTGACAGAATTTAGATTGACCTTGACTGGATTATGAATTTTCTAATTATACTCGAAAATAGGCAGAAATGAGTTATTCCACCTAATATAGGTATGAAGGGCGATTAAAATGAGACATCTCCCAGCTTTACACGACCTTTCTTTGCAAAGTTATGGATATACAAGGAAAGCCCTAAATGTCCATTGTCAGTATAAAGCTACAGAAATAAGGAGGAAGAAATTAATTCAGGGCTTTTCTTGTAAATTCTATAACTTTGTGCAGAAAGGTTGTGTAGAGCTGGCAGATGTCTCATTTTAATCAGAAATTCGCGGGTTACAATCATGCATCATTAAAAAAGAGGTTTTGATTATTCTTTAGAGTTTCTGAAAAAACCGATTTTCCAGAAAATCGAGTCTTCAGAAGCCTTTTAGGGTATTTAGTACTTCACTGAGATCTATCGATCCATGTACAAATCGCTGGAATTGGAGGGAATATCCCAAAAGGTTCGCTCGTAAGTGTCACTTCAAGTGAGAGACACTTCAAAATGTGTGCAGCAAAATTGTAAGTTATTTCTCTCTTTAGATAATATCACCGATTTTCAAAATTACCGATTATACGACCCACCGCGTCAAAATATTTTCAAGAAATGGGGCTGATCCCCTGCTCCTGCTGCTATTTTCGTTTTCTGTATTCTAAAACTAAATTTGTTATTTTTTGTTTAACATCATAAACCGATAACAATCGTGTCGGAATCAAATCTTTTAACGAATTTATCATATCTAGATACACTGGATTATTTCTTTTTGCTTTATACACATTAAACAAATCAAATCAAATTTATTTAGCAATACAGACCATGCACAGTTACAAAAAAGTAATAACTTGAGAACAGTAACTACCATTTGTGTTAGAGTACTAAGACAAAGAAGAGGTAGAGTGTGACTTATAAAATATAACAAAATAAATCAGATGACAGAAGTACAAGATTACTCTATAGAGGAACATCACAAGTCATACGAGATAGAACAATAAAAATACCAGATCTGAAGATGTATTTTCAGTGCACGTTTAGAAGATGAGAGAGAATAAGTGTCGATAACTGAACGAGGAAGCTGATCCCTGTAGTTGCCTGCTGCTATTTTCGTTTTCTGTATTCTAAAACTAAATTTGTTATTTTTTGTTTAACATCATAAACTGATAACAATCGTGTCGGAATCAAATCTTTTAACGAATTTATCATATCTAGATACACTGGATTATTTCTTTTTGTTTTATACACATTCTTCATCAGTCCAGTTTTTAAACCTACGTGCTTTATCTGAGCAGACTGAAAGAAAACATGAAAAAATTTGGCAAAAAACAAGTATCACGCTGTCATCTTAGGGAGGAGAAAAAAGATATATCTTTTCCTATTTATTGCAAAAGCCTATCGATCTAAACACATGTTTTAGTTTTTTAAAGGTCATTTCCTAAAGCTAATACAGTTCACTTTTAATTATTGTCCGGTTAAAGTAAAACTTATGTCAAAAGCCAATGTTGAGACATGTAGCCAGCAGCCGTCATTTTCCGAAAATTACACAAACTGTCTCTAAACTTCATGTACAGTTGATTAGATGATGCTTCTTGTATCAAGATTCTATCGTATTTTTCTCACTCAGACGTTTTCCGAAGTTTCATTTTTCATTTTTCTTGTTCTTACTTGTGTTGGTTTAGATGCATTCATTACCACTATTGTCGACGATATAGCTGGTTGTGAGAAAGATGGCTGCTGGTTTTCAGCGTTTTTTCCTGTTGTTGGTAACTAATTGTTACCAAACTGCGTCAAGTCAGAAGACGCAAGGTTTATGCATACTTTTCTTGATGTCACCAAAACACTGGCAATGATGATTATAGAACTGTATTGTAATTAAGAGCCAAAACGAAGGACGGGTACATTCGATGGCTGAACAAGACGTATTGCTTCCAGCGGTCCTAAACACGCTCACAAAGCATCAGTGTGAAAAGAATCAAAAATTTCAGGAAATAAACACTCATCTAAACGACAGGTTCTAGAAAAGCAAATAATGGTGAAATAATTAAATGAAATGCATATTTCTGCAATCTGTTTCGGAAATTTAGAATTACCATTTCTTACTTGTGGTTTCAGTATCAGAGCACCACTATTTGCATTTGTTTGATCACAAAATTCTTTGCAAAATTTTAGCTTTTCCTAAAAAGAGAAGCACAGCATAGAAGACTTAAAAGTGTTGGTTACTGAGAAACGAACCCTTTTCGAAAGTCATTTTATTTAGTATTATCGAACAGTGTTACGTAGATCATAGTGTTTCTGGAAACAGTTGGAAATCATAAGCGTACTATACGTCAGAGTCTTCTTTATCGTGTGAAACAAAGTCCAACACAGAACAGTCGAAATTAGGCACCCTTAAAGCCTATCCTGAAATTTAAGAATGACAAGGAATTAGGGGTATCCATAACAAAATATATGATTATAATGGCGGATACGGTTACCCACTGAACTTAAAAAATAGAAAAGTTGAGATTTAAGTTACTCTAAAACGATTTGAGTCCGCTTTTAAGTAAAAACTGATATGTGGCGTCCATTTTGCTAGTTTTGGCCCGAAAGAGCATAGTATACAGAGGTAGCAGCGATTTATAATTTGCCATCGATCGGTCCATGTTTAATTCGCAGCAGAAAGTGTATGGATCATATACTACTGTAATAGACATATGCCTTCCAAATATGCAGAACATAGACTACGTGTTTGTATAAGAAGAGCTAGTGTAAAAAATCACCTGTTTGACAAGGGGTGGGAGAGTAAGTGCAAAAAAAACTGTGTTTCGCCAATTTTCTATGCCATCCGACGAGTGCTGTCCGATTCCTAAAGTCGTAACGGCTGTAGTACCCATTGCGACTTCATAGACATAAGCACCATACGTTATATAGCGAACCTTTGCAGTCGTTCTACTTCTCGGTATCGATCTTTTAACAGAAATGTAACTCCCAATTAGGAATATTCGGTTCTCGGTTCTGCAGGAGGAACCGGAACCGCGGTTCTCTTGTTTTCGGTTCTTCATCGGGAACCGGAACCGCGGTTTTGTAGACGGTTCCCTCCTTTGGAACCGAGACCTTTTTAACCAGAAATACTACAGTTTTAGTTCGAGAAAGCTATATTTAGCGTTCATAAGGTATATTTGTGCGCAATTTCTTTTACATGAGATCTTCTATATCTGGCAAACCCATCAACTCTTCTTAGATAAGAGATAAAGCCAATATTATTATGTCATTATACTGGCCATAACGCCTGGTCTTAAAACTGTTAAGATCAGACGATAGAAAAATACAGCATTGAAAGAAAAAGAATGAATGTGAACGGACGTACAAATTTGTATTTCCTTATGCAGGGTAAAAAAGGGCGAAATAGTAATTTATTCTTTTCTCATCTACCTTATCCTTTTATCTTGCCTTTCTTTTAACAAAATGAAAACACACTATTGACACAACTGCAAAAAGATATATTTGCCTGCCATTATTTAAAAGAATCCTTTCGTTTACTATAAAATGGATTTTATTTTGTTAAATTGTTACTGCCCGAAAATCCTTCTCCGATTCTAAGCTGAGAACCGGCATTCCGACTCCAGAACCGAGAACCGAACATCCCCACTCCCGATCCACCATGCACTAATCACTCTTTACCTGCTGTCATCTGGCTTCTCAACATTGTCAGAAAAACATCTGAAATTACGCGAAAGAAATAGGCTGATTGTTTCTGACCACTAGATCATTCCTTTTTATAGTTCAAATGGCCACACGGCACAGACTAGGAAAAGATATCGACGCAAGAAGATTCATCGTGCAACCAGGCAGTTAAAACGTATCGACGACAAAATAATATGGATCAAGAAGGAGAATAGAGCTGTAGCCGCTCGTGCGCAAACGCGGCAGAACGTAGTCGAGCTCATGTGGCGGAACATTGTGGGCGCTAATGGTATTTATATAAAAGAAGAGCTGCTGGAACTCGTTTATATATACTGAAAGTTTCCTCAAAACAATTGAGAGTTTTTTTGTGTTTTTTTGTATCTTTATTCTTCATACATATTATTCTGTATGTATACAAATAAACGTTTTCTCACGAGAACTATAAAGGGGACTTCATTTAATGACCACCTTCTGAACAAATTAAAATAGATTTGTTTTTCTCAAAAATTTTGACGTGATTCGAATATTGGTTTTTAACACTGAGTCGTAGAGATCACTTTTTCTTTTGGTGAATTGTTTTTGATGACACCAGACGCCTTCGACTGCATTTCGTTCGCATTGGACTTTTAGACAAAAAATTATTTTTACTTTGTATCCTTCTGCTAATTGTTCAAATCGCGATATCTAAAAAAGAGAAACGCAGAAATAGAGCAATTTTACGGTAATACACAATTTAAAAATTTATATTTTTGAATGCAGAATGATCAGATAATATTGTATCTAGGTCATCCAGTTTAATATTCTTTGGGAATTTAACATCAAATTCTTTACTAATTTTCAATAAGCCTTTGCGTAAACCTTTATCTGGTCTACTTTGTTCATCACAATGTAAAGTTCTTTTGATACCAAGTGAATCAATATAATCTACACTACCCACACAGCATCGTGTACCAACTGATTTACCAAAATCTGGTAGACTATAAGCTCCAGCTGCATGGGTGCCAGCGTTGATTTTTGAACTTCTTTAACTTGTAGCCATCTTTCAAATTGCTGCAAGACTGTTTCATTATCAAAATATGAGTCTTGACCAACATATATCGAAGCTGTAGTACTTTTTTTAGTATATTTAACATCACTTAGCGCTCTTAATTGTTGATATTTGTTCAATGCTGGTTTATTTTCATCGTCATTTACGCTAAAAAACGATCCAGATGGATGCTCAAGTCGGAAATCGCTATCATATTGGATCTTCCCATAGCTTATGTATATAAAGTCGTGTTACAACTGTACGATCATAGTAGTGGTAAATAGTACACGGCTTTTGAAAGTTGTTACGACTTAACGATCTCGGCATGTATGCATCTGAAACTAACCCGACAAGAGAGCCAATTTCTTTTCGTTTTCTCGCACAAAAGCAAAATAATCGGTTCAATAACATTCTCAAGTCAAAAAAAGAGGTAGGTAGGTTAAAATAGCATAAATATTAAAATTTAGGAGTACAAAATATATCGGGGTGTTTTTCCGTCAAAAATGTGTCGACAACAGTGCCACTCAACATTTAACCTAGAGGTCTGGGTTACTCGGGGTAAAAGTACTGAATTTTAAGTTCTGATTTAAAAACTGGCTTGGAAACCCGGTCTTATGTCAAAATTCGTAATGACCCAAACAATGGCAGAGTAAACACATTAGCGATAGTTTACACTAAATATGTCTTTATATGTGACTGACAACGAGATAGAATGAGACATACTTTTCTGATATTTTTTTTCTTTGACTTTGTTGTTGCCTTTGTAGATGCGTTTCACAGACAAAAATTTAACTTGGCCCAAGAGCTCTGAAAATAAAAAAAAGGTCAAACTTTTCTGAATTTCTTGTTTTTCTGATTTCGTGTTCATTCATTTTATCTCTCATTTCAGTATAGTTTAGTTATGAACAAAGAAAAAATTGCTCTACAATTATTCTTTTTCATGTCTGCTCATCTTGCTTTTCCAATTTCCGTGCATCACTGGAGTTTTGTTCCACCAATGGCAATGCGATGTGTCTGCAGTTGCTGACTAAACACACCTGATGGTGTCGGCATCTTTGAATGGACATTTACTGATTTTCACCATTGTGCTGAAAGAGAGAGTGATACACGCTATCGAAAGGAATATAACGTTTCTTATAACACTGTTCCTACGTCAAGCCTCTTAGTTTTAAACAGACTGTGAAGCGACCAACTCACAGTGGAGTATATCTGACGCCCAAAATTGAACCACAGAATTATGCGGTGATAGTAGAGCAGTTTGAGGAGCTGAACAGTAGAAAACTAAGAGCAACAGAGGAAAATGATATACGCTCTGAGTCAGAATTTAGGAGTCTGATGTTTTGAAAGTGTGACCTAACTTCAATTCGTGTAGAGTAGAGTATTCTGAACTTTTCGCACAGTCATACGTACAAGTAAAAGAATCTTTTATTCTGTGCATAAAGAGCGATTATGTGTCTAAGTGTGAAAAAAGAAGGATCTATTGCAGGCTCAATGAAAGGTTTTCGACCCCTATCATTGATGAACATCGATTACAACACCGATTACTGGAATAATCCAAAAATCACCGGTATCATCCGAACACGAGCGTAGTGTGAAGCCGTATGAAGGAAAGTGTTTTATCAGGATAGTATTGATGTCACTGTTAAAACAAGAGCATATGCTGATGATGTCGATACCATCGTATTCAATACAGATGAAGAAAAGGAGACTATCAAGATGTCGATCTCTACAATAAGGCATCGGAACGTGGTGGAGCTCATGTGGCGGAACATTGTGGGCGCTAATGGTATTTATATAAAAGAAGAGCTGCTGGAACTCGTTTATATATACTGAAAGTTTCCTCAAAACAATTGAGAGTTTTTTTGTGTTTTTTTGTATCTTTATTCTTCATACATATTATTCTGTATGTATACAAATAAACGTTTTCTCACGAGAACTATAAAGGGGACTTCATTTAATGACCACCTTCTGAACAAATTAAAATAGATTTGTTTTTCTCAAAAATTTTGACGTGATTCGAATATTGGTTTTTAACACTGAGTCGTAGAGATCACTTTTTCTTTTGGTGAATTGTTTTTGATGACACCAGACGCCTTCGACTGCATTTCGTTCGCATTGGACTTTTAGACAAAAAATTATTTTTACTTTGTATCCTTCTGCTAATTGTTCAAATCGCGATATCTAAAAAAGAGAAACGCAGAAATAGAGCAATTTTACGGTAATACACAATTTAAAAATTTATATTTTTGAATGCAGAATGATCAGATAATATTGTATCTAGGTCATCCAGTTTAATATTCTTTGGGAATTTAACATCAAATTCTTTACTAATTTTCAATAAGCCTTTGCGTAAACCTTTATCTGGTCTACTTTGTTCATCACAATGTAAAGTTCTTTTGATACCAAGTGAATCAATATAATCTACACTACCCACACAGCATCGTGTACCAACTGATTTACCAAAATCTGGTAGACTATAAGCTCCAGCTGCATGGGTGCCAGCGTTGATTTTTGAACTTCTTTAACTTGTAGCCATCTTTCAAATTGCTGCAAGACTGTTTCATTATCAAAATATGAGTCTTGACCAACATATATCGAAGCTGTAGTACTTTTTTTAGTATATTTAACATCACTTAGCGCTCTTAATTGTTGATATTTGTTCAATGCTGGTTTATTTTCATCGTCATTTACGCTAAAAAACGATCCAGATGGATGCTCAAGTCGGGATTAAAATAGATTTGTTTTTCTCAAAAATTTTGACGTGATTCGAATATTGGTTTTTAACACTGAGTCGTAGAGATCACTTTTCTTCTGACGAATTGTTTTTGGTGACACCAGACGCCTTCGACGACGAGACTGTTTGATGACTGGAGGAGGTTAATTGCAACAGTTTGAAATTGAAAACTAGCTTTTTTACAAAATTTTCAAATTTTTTTGGTTGAGATGCCCGTAAGACACAGTGTTTATTTTAGTATACTCGAGTTTTATTCAAAGATGTTTTAAGTCGTCTTCAGAGGTAGAGGTGTTAGCGGAATTTTACGGCGGTGGCGAATGAGCCACACCGAAATCAGAAAATTCGGCGGCGGCGGAAAATGTTTTGGAATGCATGAGCCAACCTTCAAAAATTGTGCTATGAAGCAAAATAGCAAAAAAATATCTAGATATGGTCGGCGGCGGATAAGTTTCCGCCGACGTTTTATTTTCAGCGGCGGCGAATCAAAACTTTCTCGGCGGCGGCGGCGAAAAATCGCCGGCTAACTCCTCTATTCAGAGGTACCGAGAGGTGTCAAAATTGAATTCCTATGTGTTTTAAAGGTCTGCAATACATCGAAAAATAGTGGTTTTTGGATTAGATTTACATTTTTTAATCTATTTCAAAAATTAGAAATCTAAACCACTCCGAAGTAAAATTCGACTGTGATTTCATTAGAAGAAACAGAGTTTTCAGTGTCTTCGAATGCGTCTTCTCAATGCTTGGAAAAACATTAGATTTTCTAATCTATTCAGAAAATTTGGAATCTAAATGACTACGAAACTATTTAGATTCTATATACAGTTGAAACATCGAAATATTAATTGTCTTCGAATACATTTGAATCTTTAACATTCGACTTTTTAATGCCTTCAGAGATATTCCGATTTTCAACACATTTGAAGTCAACCTCTTCACAGATATTAGAACTGTCAATATCTTTGACTACATTTCAATTTCGAGAGTCTGTAAATGCGTTAAATTTGTGAATGTCTTTGAATGTATCTGTTATCGCAATCTGTTTGAATCCAAAGAGTTACTCATTCTTTTGTTCCTCGTCTTCTTCTCTTTTTTTGGTATTTTATCTTTTCTTCGTCTCTCCCGCAGGAGAAACAAGGCTCTATTAGTGATCGACGATCTCGCAACGATCTATAGCTGTCTATAGCTCATAGCTCTATTCTCAGAGTCCGTAAACTGCAAGAAAAAGAATTTTAAAAGAAAATTAAAGTTATTTTACCTAGAAGAAAAGAGTACGATATGCTCAATGACTACAAAGATTCTGGTTTTCTAAAAAAATTTCTAATTTTTCACTAAATAAAGATATTTTGAAAAGCTGAATGTATTCGAAGAATTAGAACTTTTCAAAGGATTGAATATATTTGGAGGCAAGACAACAGTGAAAATCGTTTGTTTATACCTTTCAAGACATTCTTATTTCAAATGACTTTGAAGCGTTTCAAAATTGTATAATACAAATTTTGAGCAGGATATTTTACTTTTTTAAAAAATCCGTTTTCAGGGACATTTGCAAACAGACAAGCAAGCAGACCATTTTGGCAGAAAACAAAAGATCAGACATTTGGCTACCAAGTTCACTACGGGGGTGTGATGAATAACACCATCTCTGATTTTACACAATTGAGCTAGTTGATTGCAGACACTTTATCACGGTGATGAGTCAGTCATCGCTCTATCGAATGTCTTCGAAGGTGTTCAAAAATCGAATCAGTTATACGGTGTTCATAAATATTATTAATGAAACAGAAATAGTTTTCAGTTGAACTGACTATGTTGAGATTCTAGTACTTCGAAGACACTAGAAGTTTTGATGTTTTCTAATACATTCGAGGACGTTAGATCCTCGAAGAATCAGAATGTCTTGCAATACAGCGGAGTTTCATGTGCTTCCATACACTTCAACACATTCAGTCCTTGAAAAATCAAAACACTTTTAAGTCTTTTCAAATCCGAATTTATTTGAAAGTCTTCAAAAGATGCTGTAATAAAGAAGTGTAGTTCTTCAAATATATCTAATAAAGGGATTGTCACATTAGAAGACCCTCTCCAAATACCCCATCGACCTTGTAACGTAAAAGTTGAAATAGAAGATTTCCTGTTTCTAACATTTTTTTAAAAAAGAATGCAGACCCTCTAAAATCTTTAAAACTCAGTAGATTAGAAGACCCGAGTCTTCTAATGTGACAACTTCAAATGTATTACAAATTCAAATTATCTTTTAAGACAAATTGTACTTCTAAGATTCTGCAAAGACATTTAGTAAGTCGACATGCTCGCTGATCTCCTCACCTTCGCGACACTTTGAAATATCATCAAAGCGTGTTAAATTAAAACATTTCTGCAATATGTTAAATGAATTAATGACAAATTTTGATCATTGTCAGCTCAGCACAGTTCATCATAACGGTTCGAATGCATGAAGGAATTGGCCGCGAAAGATGTGTGCGTTCAGTCAGAGCAATGGTTACTGTGATCAACATATATGCGTCATTCTTCAATATGTGATCTAATATGTGCAAAGCGATGTCGATTAATATAAAACTTTGAAAGATTAACGCGCGAGGATGCACTTTGATATGACACTCTTAAGTTGCCAGAAGCAGAAGTGCATATTTATTATTGTTAAGTGAATATATAAATGCGATTTCAAATTGATGATTAGTTAAAATACATTTCAACGAGTATAAGTGTCCTCGAGTTAATATGCTTTTTTCTTTCTGTTTTCTTATAAGCCTAGAAGTGATAAACAGCCGATTTTCTGTTAATGATCTTATATTTTGAATGTTAAATTCAGTAGTTAAGTAAAATATGAGTAATGCTAGCTCGCGAGTGACATCAACTACACTTAAAGTATTCGATATTCATACACGTGTTCGATACAAAAACCAACGAGAAACAAATCAACTTCGAAATCGAATAAATGATTTAAACACGAAGCACACAGCAAAATTAGCAAAACATACGTTTGCACGTATCGAATTACTAGTAAAATTACATGAACTTCAACATGAACGTGCAGAAGGAGAGCTAATGAACAAATTATTTGAAAGTACGTCTCTAAACGGGTCATCGAAATCGGTGTCGTTATTTGTCTGTTAGATGCCCAGTAATAGTCTATTCAGTGTCTGTTAAATGCTCAACAATTGAGACAATTTTTGACCATGTTTTTTAGATATTCAAAATGAGCACTTTTAATATTTAAAAGTGACAGTTTTATTTTACAGCGGACAAAAAATGAACATGTTCCGATGTCCGTTTTTAGATAATTATTGCACCATTATGAGTCCTAAACGATCCATTTTTCAAACATTTTCTGAAGTTAGTTTCATTCTGATTGATAATTTCATGAAGAATGAAATCAAAAATTTCCAGTAATTTTTAGATCATGGTACCATCAGTGGTACAAGACCCAGTCTACCTACGCGCGACAAGTTTCGATGACTTGTATAATTGAAGAAGAGAAAAATTTTGAGTTTTATTGAAAGAATCAGCATCATATCTGTATCAGTCTTGATAGAGAAAGAAAAGCGTGAATAATTTGTTAACAGTTTATTAAAAACTGTCATTTAACTGCTGACGGTAAATGGTAGTTTTTCGCTGATGCTATCTGTTAAAAGCAGTATGTTAACCGGCAGCTAACGACTGGTATAGCTTTCAACTTGAAGCATATACAGTTAAATTTCTGTTTTTAGGCCATGATTTATGGTGCAACAACAGACAAAAAAATATTGACTGCTAAAGGTTGTTTTTAACAGTTTTTAGCTGATTAAGGGTCAATTTTTTAGTCATACAGTAAACAGCCTATACATTAGTTATTAAATAACAGTTTTCATTGACCTTGATGATATGCTTGTCTGATGATGTGTACGCTTTGTTTTTCCTCTGTTTAGAAGATCAGCAACAACAGGAAGAGAGCAGTAAGTAGGTTTTCGCTTTTTCGTTTATGCAGATGAAACTCCAATCTGTGCAGTAGTGGAAAACAGCTCCAAGCTCCCCAGTTAATTCCTTTAATACTACCGAATAAATCTTATGATTTCTAATACTCACTTTCTAAACTTTAGATACACTCAAACATTCATCTGCCACGGATGATAAACAAAATACTTGTAAAAGACCCGTCTCTTGTGTCGACAACAATTCATTATCAAGTTTGTTGTTGCATAATTTGAATGAATCAATAAAATTACAAAATAATTCATCGTCTGAACTTATGAAAAGTTCAGCTAAAAAGAAAGAAAGTCCTGTTGATTTGCGTAGAAATCAGTGGAAATCTAAACTGGACAGTTCTGCACAATCAAGCTTAGAGCTATCGTCGACAACGATGTCATTGAAAGCACATGCTGAAAGAATGAATCAAGTGATCAAGATTGCTATTAGCAAAGCAGCTCGAGACAGCCAAGCTCAGTCTCGACGAGAAACGCGAGAAAATCTCGTTCATTAAAGATGTTATGAATTTTTGATTTCTTTTGTCATTGGTCGGTCATAAAAGATAAAATGAGAAATAAACTTCTTTGTTTTATGTACAGCTAAAGAAGTGCCATGAGATCAGATTCTTCTCTAAAAGAAAGAGTTCACTAGTCAATAATACACACAACTGGCAAAGAGAGCTAACTATTGATAGTTGACTTTCTTCGGATATTGCTTCGTTAATACTTTCTTGATTATGAGTCAAAAATGTGCTCTTTATGGGTCTTCCCTCTATCTACCTGTCTGTTTTTAATCCAATGCTATTAAAAAAACATTAGTGTACACTACATTTTGCAATGATCACAATTTAAAAATTTATATTTTTGAATGCAGAATGATCAGATAATATTGTATCTAGGTCATCCAGTTTAATATTCTTTGGGAATTTAACATCAAATTCTTTACTAATTTTCAATAAGCCTTTGCG